AAACGAACCAAAGAGAAAAGTCTCTCAAAATCTCAGATTCAATAGCCTCCTCCCAATTAGGGTTGCAAGCCCTTTAAATAGCAAAAAGTAATTCTAATCAGAATAGGAAACTAACACCCTAAACCCTAATTCTAATAACCACGAATTGGGCCTCAAATAAATGAATGCTCAGCCCAAAATAATACAAAAAAATGTGGAAATCACTGAAAGTAACCTAAAGTACATGAAATATCAGTTTGTTACAAATTGCGACAGAATTACGGGATTTTGACGCAAACTGTGTAATTTAGCATAAACGACCTCTATTAAGCTTCTCTTGGATCTAAATGATGTTTACTATGCCTTGATAATCATCGAAGCTTGATTTACTTATTGCATGTTGTTATCAACCCACATCTGCTCAATAAGGCCATTTAAAGCTTCTCGCATCTTCCTAGCTCTAGCTCTCGTGACTGGACCTCCTGGAATGTGTAATGGATCTCTTGACGTGGTACATGTAGGGTCATCTTGATTCCCATCACAACCCCAAAATGTCCCATTAACCCTCCGCTATGGGATTCCCTAACTAGCAAATCACGCAAAGAACAATTCAGCACACATAACTTATTTTCCCGAAACAAGAAACCATCATGCCTATAAAGCTTACCAGCTGCATTTTTCTCACAAGCTCGAAAATCCTCACAAAAATCTTGGTCTAAAGGATATAATTCTTTAATGTGCTCAAAACCAAGTAATTTTGCATCAAGGGTAGAGAGATTAATGCATACCTGTGAGAAAGTGCATCAGCAACCACATTCTCCTTACCTTGCTTATGCCGGATGACATATGGAAACGTCTTGATGAACTCCATCCATCGCAATGCCTCTTGTTCAATTTGTGTTGATCTTTCAAGTTCTTCAATGATTTGTGATCAGTGTGTATCACAAACTCCTTGGGCCAAAGATAATACTGCCATGTTTTTAATGCCCGAACCAATGCGTATAACTCCTTGTCATAAGTTGGGTAGTTTAGAGGTGCCCCACTTAGCTTTTCACTAAAATACGCAATTGGTCAACCCTCTTGCCTGAGTACTACACAAACCTACACCTGAAGCATCACATTCAATCTCAAACGTTTTATCAAAATTAGATAAAGACAATAATGTAGCGTTAGTCAATTTTTGCTTGATTAGCTTAAACACCTTTTCTTCCTCTTCACCCCACTTGAATCCAACGTTCTTCTTGATTACTTTGGTGAGTGGTGCTGCCAAAGTGCTAAAGTCCTTCACAAACCGTCAGTAGAAACTGGCAAGTCCATGAAAGCTCCATACTTCACTTATACTTGTGGGACTCAGTCATTCTTGAATTGCTCAGACTTTTTCTTCATCAACCTGTATTCCTTGTGCACTAACAACAAAACCAAGAAATACAAGCCTATCGGTGCAAAAAGTTTATTTCCTCAAGTTAGCAAATAACTTTTCCTTTATCCAAAACTGATTATGAATGCACAACATGTTCTTCCAAGTTTTTGCTATAAATGAGAATATCATCAAAATAAACAACAACAAACCTGCCTATGAATGCACGCAAAATATGATTCATGAATCTCATAAATGTGCTTCGTGCATTAGTTAAACCAAAAGGCATGACTAACTACTCATACAATCCATGTTTTGTCTTAAAGGCTGTTTTCCATTCATCTCCCTCTTTCATGCAAATTTGATGATATCCACTTTTCAAATCAATTTTCAAAAATACACAAGCACCATGCAACTCATCTAACATGTCATCTAGGCCCCGTTTGGTATAGCGGTTTTGGGGTAGTGGTTAGCGGTTTTACCTAAACCGCTAAATATAGGTGTTTTGTAAATTTACATATTTTGAAACCACTACAACTAAAGTGTTTGGTAAAATTTTTATTTAGCGGTTTGAGACTAGCGGATAGCGGTTAGGGTCTAAATTGCTAGCAGATTGAAAAAGTTAGTTTATGTAGCTTTTTGTACCAAACCGCTAACGAATTAAAATTTTTTAATTTTATTGACAAATTTATCCATTTTAATTTTTTA